CCATTCTAAAGGCAATTTAAAATTCATCCAAAATCCTAAAAGTTTATACCTATAGAATAAAGCACATGTTTAGTTCATAGCGATATAAATAAATAAAAAGGAGAGAAAGGACATAGCTTTTCTTCAGTAAAGTATCGGTTAATAAATGTAGAGTGGAAATAAAATACTGTTTGGCAAATACCACACATTATACGGGTACATTCTGAGAAATACATCACTAGGTGATTTTGTTGTGCAAACATCATAAAGTACACTGACGCAAACCTGGATAGTGCAGCCTACTGCACCTCGTCTGTATGCTGCCAGCCTGTACAGCATGTTACTGTACAAAACAACATGAGATTTAATCACACACAAGAGACAACGATGCAATGAAGAGGCATAGTAAGTATGAGATGAGGGTGCCGGCAGCGTGCACAGCTACTGTTTTACAGCACTTTATAGGAGTATGCTCTAAAATACTGATAAAAAGTATAGTATAGTAAATACATAAACCAGTAACATAGTCATTATCATTATTGTGTATTATGTACTGTACATAATTGTACATGCTGTTTTGATAGTATGACAGGCAACGCAGTAGGTGTGTGTTTACACCAGCATCACCACAGACAGATAAGGAATGCATTGTGCTACAACATCAGGACAGCTACGATATCAGTAGGCAATAGGAATTTTTCAGCTTCATTATAATCTTATGGGACCACCATCATATATATAGTCTGTTGACTAAAATGACAGAATGTGGTGCGTGATTGTAACAATTTTGCAGAAAGAACTATTAGTGGATGCTAAAGTTCGTAGGGCAAAGCATCTTACCAGATACCCAACAGTTACAAAGGGAATAAACAGTAACTCCTTGGTGGAGAAATGAGGCAGACACCACTTCAACCAAGCAATCCAAGGTAAAACCACCAGTAACAAGACATAGAAACATGCTATGTGCCTCCACTACCCACTAGCTATGGTGCACTCTGGTATTCCTGCCAGAATGTACTAAATTCCAAGGCATGAGAAGACCTAAGGCAGACCCCAATTGAGGGGCATTCCACAAAATGGTTGACTAACACTGGTGGTTTCAAGGCTATATAAAACAATGAGAATAAGGACCTGTAGATGATGAGACAAGAGCAGGAGGTATGATAAAGGGCAGCGTGCAATCCTGGCCTGGGTGCCACAGAAATGGTTTACAAAAGTGACATGAGTGGGAGAATTGATGAAACTTGAATAAAGTCTGTAGATTAGTGTATACTATTTTATAAACGTTAATTCCCTGGCTTTGATAACTGTGTTATGGTTATGCAAAGGTGTCAGCATCTGGGGAGGGTGGGTAAAAGGAATTCTATTACTGGGGAATTTTTGTATGTTTGAAATGCTTTCAAAATGAACATTAAAAAAAATATTCATACCTTTGGTTCACTTTTCCATCTTTAGAAATCAAGCTTGGGAACTCTAAAATGTTTGTCCTAAAGTTTGTTGAGCAAATTCTTTCTAATTTTTTAGTTTTTGCCTCCTGCATCATGATGATCCAGAAATATTAGCAGATACTTGCCAAATATTTTTTTACCTTACTACTGATGGTCCAAATAAATTAATTGAAATGATTGTGAAATTAGGCTGTAAAACCTCCAGAGCTACAGAATGAGCAATGGTAACTCCTTCCTTAACAGCTAAAAGAAATATTGCTCCTGGGACAGATGAGTGGTCACAGGTCATAACAGTATCAGGAGAATGTGCAGTGTTTCCCCAGGTCACTACCTGAAGCCAAAACTCACATTCAGTAGAAGCCTGCATGGACCACATCAAACATCACATCTGGCTTCCAGGTTAGATGACATTCCTTGTTGGCATATTCTGTAAGGAAGACTTTAAGGTACAAAATGAAACTATGGGTGGTCACCACCCCTACAAGTGGGAAACACTTGAATAGATTGTCTACCTTGTCTCCTCTAGTACAACAGAACCATATGCATCTTGTAAGTGAAAAGGATATGAAAGTTGTCCTGGTATTCTGGGTACCATTTCAAATCCCTTTCTAGTTGCTAGGGAACTGAACCCAATAAAATATTTAGTACTCCAGACCATGCAGGCTTGGAGACCTCCGAAGCTCTTCAAGCCATGAAAATGACATCTACAAGACTTCATTGATTGCTGGGTAGGTAATTATGTCTCTTAAAAATGTGGCAAAACAAAATATTTTTAAATGAATAGTTCAGTAGTGTTAAATACAGTCACATCCTTGTGCAAAAGATCTCTAGAAATTTCTCATCTTGCAAAACTGAAAATATACACCAAGTGAACAACTGCCCATTCATCCCTCTTCCACCCCTGGCACTCACTATTGTACTTTCTGTTTCTATGAGTTTGATCTCTTTAGGTACCTGGTACAAGTGGAATTGTCTCTTTGTGACTAGCTTTTTTCACTTGGAATAATCTTCTCAAGTTCCATCTATTATAGCATGTGATGGGATTTTCTGTTCTAAGGCTGAATAATATATTATTGTATTTATATAACACATATTCTTTATCTCCATTGATGGGCACTTGGATTGCTTTTGTCTCTTGTCTATTGTGAATAATGCTGTAGTGAACACAAGTGTGCGAATATGTCTTCCAAATCCTGCTTTCCATTCTCTTGGATATAAAGTCTACAGAGTGGGTTTTGGTCTCCTGCCAGAACCACAAACTGATGGGACTGTCGGGTTTGCAGTCAAGTAGGGCTGGAGCCGGTATATGACTGACACTCTGTTGTCTTTGAGACTAATGTCAACAGGCCTGCCACTGGAAGCATGTCTCCCATCAGGTCCCTGGGTGGGCAGGACTGTCCCTGGACTGTAGCAGATCTGAGCTGGTGTGGGGTGGTTGTGTGGTTTCTGGGTACACAGTCAACAATTATAATAATGTAAGTTTTTTTTTAAACATTTTTCAAGTAGAGTTAACATTTAATATTTTATGCTGATTTTGGGTGTACAGCATCGTGGTGAGACATAATTTACAAAATGATCCCACTGATAAGTCTAGTACCCACCTGGCACAATACTTAGCCATTACAATATTATTGTCTATAGTCCCTCTGCTGTACTTTACATTCCCATGACTACTTTCTAACTGCCAGTTTTTACTTCTTAATCCCTTCATCTTTTCCATCAATTTAGAAGATAAGGTAGCAAAAAACACCCAATCAGAATAGCAAAAAGAAAATAAAGTAAGGTTAGTTTAAGGGACTTCTGGGACAACATCAAGTGTACTTCTAAAAGTTCTAGAAAAGGAAGAGTACTAGAAAAAGAAGAGGGAAGCAAAAGATTGAGAACCTATATTTAAAAGTGGCAGAAAATGTCCCTAATCTGGTGAAGGAAGTAGACATACAATCACAGGGAGCACTAGAGTCCCCAAACAAGTTGAACCCAAAGAGGCCCACACCACGACACTTCATAATTATGATGCCAAATATTAAAGACAATGAAAGAACCTAAAAGCGACAGAAAAGCAGTTAACTACAAAGAAACTACTATGATACTGTTAATTGACTTCTCAAAAGAAACTTCACAGGCCAGAGGGAATGACAAAATATTCAAAATGATGAAAAGCAAGGACTGACAACCAATCTACCCAGCAAGGCTATCATTTAAAGTCAAAAGACAGAGAGCTTTCCAGAGACCACAAAACTAGTACTATAGGAAATGTTAGAGGGACTTCTTTAAGAAGAAGAAGATGGAGGGGGAGGAGTTCATAAATATGAATAACAACATGGCAAAAACATTATCAATAATCACTTTAAATGTAAATGAATTAAATGCTCCAATCAAAAGACATAAGGTGTCTGAATGGATAAGAAAACAAGACCGTTAC